ACACACACAAACACACTCACTCACCACATACACACACACCACACTTACCATTCATTTCATAATACAGTGGAACCTCTATTAACGAGTTTAATCCGTTCTGGCACCGAGCTCGTTACCTGGAAAACTCGTCTTTGGAAACAAATTTCCCCATTTAAAATAAAGGAAATAAATTTAATCCGTTCCACTCCCAAAAACATCCATACTTGTATGACTTTTTTTATGTAAATATAATATTGCACATGTAAATATAAATGTTTTGTTGTAGTGTTTTAATATTTACTTTACCTTATGAAGAGTAGTTGCTGGCTTGAGGGAGACGATGGGGAGGTAGGAAGGATGAGAAGGGTTATGGTGTGGAAGGAGAATCCACCTCTGAGTCAAGCAGACTCTCTCTTCTTGGGAATTTCACCCAAATTTCATTTCAAATGTCACACAAGGATGCGTTAGACCAGCACCAAATAAAAAACTACGTTGATTACACTCGTTGTGTCAACAATATAATAGTCTTACCACGAAGATACAATACAATGCCGTTTTCTCAAATAGGCAATGTGGTTATTAAAGAAAACGGAAATTTCATGGCAAACATGTATACAATCCCCATCTCGATCGGATAAGAATTGGATTTTATAGAAATATTTGCTCAAATGACGCTTGAGAGCGGTGTTTGGGTGCATTCAAGAGAAAAAAAGTGTGTTACATTCAAGCGACATATACCTGCGAAAGTGATAACACTTTCATAAAGTGTTATCACAAAGTGATAAATTAATCAAACATTTTCACACACCAGGTTGTCACTGCTTTATCAGGGCAGCTTTTCCAAGAATGCGTTCACCTTTTCAAACATTCCAAACACCTCCCTGATCTCAGTGGAAGAGGCAGCATCCTCCCTTACCTCCTCATTCCCTTACTTCCTCATTCCCTTACTAAAGGTGTAAATTGTTGATGAGGACCTGCCATACTTCCTTGTGAGATCAATCACACAGACACCACACTCATGCTTTGCTATAATTTCCTTCTTTAAATCCACAGTAATTGTGTCTTTCTTCCTCTTGACAACACTATCTTTAGCAAGTAGCTTCTTTGGAGACATCGTGTGTTACAAATTGTAGTCGCAAAACCACTAAAAACCCAAAGAAAAGCTCAAATAAATCCAGAGGGATGCTTGTCGTGTGAGATACAACAACACTGGCGTCGGAGGCATCCGAGAATTTGCGAGAACCCGCGAGACGCTAGGAAGCGCCATGTGGTTTCACTCGTTAATAGAGGCGAGCTCGTCAATAGAGACAAATTTGCTGCGAGTGGCTTGCTCGTTACTGGAAAAACTCGTTAATAGAGCCACTCGTTAATAGAGGTTCCACTGTATTTCTTATGCTTTATAATTGAACATTATTGAACTATATTTTAATTTTAATCTGTCATGTGATGAATATCTCCCAAGGAAACCTGACTGAAAAGAGATTTCAATGTTATTGTATTGGATTATTTTCCACTACCCAGCTTCTAAACCTTAAGTTTCAATAGTAGTGATATATCTTTCTGTTAGTTTACATTAATCAGTCCCATATACTGTACAGTGGTACCTCCGTTTTCCAATTTAATCCATTCTCAGAGACGGTTCGAAAATTGAAAATATGAAAATCGATACAAATTTTCCCTTGAGAAATAATGTAAATTAAATTAATCTGTTCCACACCCCCAAAAATATTAGCTAAAAAATACAGTTTATACAGAAAACTACTCATAGGTACCTTACCTTTATGGAGCACTCTTGTTGGCATATGGCAGATGGTGAGTAGGAGGGGATAAGGAGAGGTGTTAGTGTTTGGAAGGGGAGACTCCCTTCCATTATACATGAGGCAGTGATGACTTTTCTGGGGTACTCTCTCCCCTACGTTTTGTAGGCATACCACTAGGACCTGGTTGTGGCTCACTGCTTGCTTGTCTTACTAAGAATCTTGTCTATAGATGCTTGCTTTTCCCTACGTTTCAACACCTGTCTGTAGTGAGACATTACATTGTCATTAACATTGGTGATGCACCGAGTTTATTATGACATTCTCCCTGTGCGCATAAAATCAAGTGTTCGTAAATTTTTTTTAATCTTTGTAAAATTATATAAATTTCCTTCCCTAAACACGTACATGTAAAAAAAAAAACTAAAAAAAATCCACATACTTTGGCTGTGGGGAGGTGGAGAAGGGGGTGTCACAGGCTGGTCGCCCGTGCGTGAAGCTTCCATAGGCGGCTGCGCACGCCATTCAAGCACCGCGAGTTGCCACAAATATATTTTCAATTATTTGTTCTATGTATTTTCAATGCGGTTTTATTATTTTTTTTTGTCGTATATGATGCATATTTGTGTCCTTTACAATATATATACATTAGAACGTTCATAATGTTCCGTGGAACTGTGATACATGTGTCAGTGATATTTTCACAATAAATGTTTATTGTCACAATATTACTTGTTGTTCAAGATTTCACTAAATTCACATTACTTGTTCACAATTCACATTATTAAAATTCAAATTAGTACTTGTTCAATATTCACTAAAATTACAATATTTACAGTTTCACACACTACAAAGTAACACACTGTATTACACACTCAGTACTTCAGAAGTGAGTGATAATCAATGAAGCAGTCCATGGTACACAGCGCAACTTCGCTCTCATTGCACAAGGTACAGATAGATTTTCGCTTCCTGTTTCTTCGTTCTGTGTGCTAGGAAATAACGCACTCGCATACACCCTTGACTTTAGTACCTGTAGGTGGTTTGTAGCCAAGCTTGTGAAGCATAAGGTAGTCTTGAAAAGATTATAGGAAAAGATCAATTTGTAGGGTAGTCATGAAAAGATCGCTTTAAGGTCACTCACCGGAAGAGATTCAGTCAATCAGGAAGAGATTCAGCCATTCTGGAAGAGATTCAGCTATTCTTGAAAATATCTATGGAAAACACCACCATGGAAGTCACTAACACTGTTTATCTATGCTAGTTGTATCAGATGCATCATCACTGAATCCAGAAAAAGATTCATCTATGTATCATCTTTAAAAATTGGAGATGGGATGGATGGGCAAGAGTGGCGCTCAAAGCTACAACTGGATACTCTCGCTATATTGTCCTCATCGGTGCTGTATTACTTGTATCCGACCTTTGTGTTAGGTCCTTATTGCACCTAGCTTCATCAATATCATGACCCTTATGTTCTTCAAACAATAAGGTCTGAATTTCACTGACAGAGAGCAATCTTTCAACACCGCTTCAGACAGGTGTTTGGGAGCCAGAGGCAGGTGTGCCACCCATGGTTGCTCACTCGGTACTAAGCCAGCCAGCAGCCCTAGGACATTCTGGGAATTTTTTCCAAGATGGCTGCCTCTCACTGGAGGTCCCAAGAGTCCATTTCATACACAACCTACCGCACAAGTGTTTTGAATGGGTACAAAATATTCAAAAGGGGTTTTCTTGGTTGGCGCAGTTTCCCACCAACCGAGTTTTCTCGGTTAGCGCAGCACAGTGGTTAAAAAAGTAATGTAGTGGCCTGCTACAGATTTATCTGGGTGAGTTTTTCAACAAAACTTTGTACTTCTTCCCATACTTCACACATTTTTATATGAGGAAGGGACATCCTCTACTCACAACTATTTTCTTAGCTTGAACCTTTCCACTGACTTTCTTGGGACCCATGGCATGGATACAGTACTTTTGCAGTTACTTTTAATTAATCTTTGTAATTTTAAAAATTACGTTTATGTTCCAACAAACAAAAAAAAACAGAAAAAATAATGAAATTCTTTACAAATAATTCAAGCGCGATCATCACTAAGCGAAAGGCACTGGTAAACTGAAGTGTGCTCACTTGTGCCATCAGGAACCATGTGCTTGGTTGACCCTTGTGTGTCAACAAAGTCGCAAGGCGAGGCAAAGTTTATAACCCGATTCATATTTTCCTAAGAAATTGAGTTCATGATCCGCAAAAATTCGTAAAGATGGATGTTTGCTACCCGAGGTTCCATTGTACTTCCAATCAGTTTATTGAGCTTCAGGAGGTGGGACCAAAGAGCCAAAGCTCAACTACCTGCAAACACAATTAGGCGAGTTTCTCTCACAAGTGCAGTCTACCTCTAGAACAATTAGGTGAGTACTGTACATACACACACACACACACTTTTAAGAGACAAGAATATATTAAAAAAATTAAAGTGTTTAATGAACTTAGGTTAATGCTCTATGGCTTGAATATTGTGCAGTGTAACATGTTCTAAAGAACTTAATTTCAAAGATGTAAAGTACTTTATTAGATTTTATACATTTGCAGTTGCAAGAAATATATTATGAATAGAAAATGTATTCAGGCATCAGAATGAGTCTGTGGATTATATATTTTTAAACTTATAAATCATGACAGTTCAAAACATAAAAAGTTTGCGTAATTTTAATGTGGCTGTGGTTGTATTTTCTTTACATGACCTTAAGTAAGATGGGCGTCCCCTACAGGTGGGGTTGGAGAGTGACGTTCAGAGGACTGGCGACACAGGAACCATTGGAACCAGGAAGGGCTTCTCTGCAAATCCCAAGATACAACAGTGCCCCTTCTGTCCATACACCACCAATTTCACCACAAATCTAAGGACACATTTACGTACCCATACTGGAGAAAAACCATTTTCCTGCCCTCACTGTCCTTTCCAAACCACCACAAAGGCAAATTTAAAAAGACACATTCTTACTCATACTGGAGAGAAGCCTTTTGCATGTGCACTTTGTCCATACCGATCTGCACAGAGAGGTAATTTAAATGCCCATGTATTAACCCACTGTGGTCAAGATAATTTGGGGACATCATTTGAAAACTATGCACATTTAGAATAAATACACACACACACACACACACACATACACACACACATACACACACAATTGGGAATAGAAGGTAAAAATGAGAAATCTGGATAGGTAAAGTTGATATTTCAAAACAAAAGCACTTCAACAAAGATGGCCACCACCACAGGAAAGGACAACACACAAACAGATGAATGTCTCAAAGGATTCTCGGCACAAGGTATAATAAAAAGAGGTTTTCTTGTCAGGTTAGTGATTATTGATGACTTGCTAAAGAATTATAAAGAAAATGTACAGTAATTATATTAGAACAAGAAAATAAAGGTATCAAGAATGAGCTTTGTAATATAACAGGAAGTATTTTCCAGCAAGGTAAGGAAATTACCAGCTTGACATGAGGTAATGGAACATGAGGTACAAATCAAGGAACTTGTGGAAGAAAATGTGATATGGTAAGTGAAGAGGGGTGAATTTGAACAAAAAAAAACAGGAAAATACTCATATGGTGAACAACGCAAGTTGTAAAAGAGAGAGAAAAGATCAAAGAAATATGTTTGAAAGTTAAAACCAAATAATCAACAAGAAGCAGACATTAGGTAAGCAACTAGGAAACAACTGGTTAAAACAGAAAATTAGAACAAAGCACTGCAGATGGAAGTAAGTCCATAATAATTTTTGGGTGTTTAGAAAAGGAAATACCATAGAGAGGGCAGAAGAGGAAAAAATGATTGAGAAAATAGAAGTTTAGAGAAGGCCTCACGACAAAGGGAAACATCAGTTTTAGGAGGATAGGCAAATATGAGAAAAATAAGAATTGGCTGTTTATGGTAACATTTAATGATGTGAAATAAATGATAGATTTGCCAGGAAACTGCAGAATGACAAGGATGGGAAACATTGTCTATTAAGACAATACCACTTTAAGGAAGACAGAGCTGAAACTTGACGAAGCGAAATGTCACAGTGGAAATAGAAATGAAGCAGAAATAAATGATTTTTTCAGCAATGTGATAGGGACTGGAATGTCTATAAAATGGTACATAAAAAAATCATTAGAGGAAGTGGGAATAAAGGACAAAGGGAAAGGGAACATGTTCCTGAAAATTGTATATACCAACATAGATGGAGTGAGATAAAAAATACTGGAGATAAAAAAATATAATTCAGCTTAAGGCCCCAAATATTGTGCACTAACAGAGACAAAACTTGAAGAAAATATTAGAAATGGGGTCATATTTCCAAGGTCCTACTCAGTTTGGAGATGTGACAGAAAATTAGGAAGAGAGAGGAGTGGCTATGCTGGCGAAAGAACACCTTAAAATATGAGAATTAATCATTGACAACCTTGGAGAAGTTGACATAATGGCATTGCAGGTTTGGGATTGGGATGATTAACTGATAATTGTAAATGCTGTCAGCACATCAGCAAGTAACACATGGACAAAGGAGGAACTGGATGACAAATAAGAAAGTCTCATAATGGTCATGAGAGAGAATACAGTAAGAGCAGATAAAGATAAATCATGATTGTTGGTCCTGGGAGACTTCAACTTGAAAGCAATAGACTGGGAGGCCTATGAAGCAAGAACAGAGGACATTTAGACTGGCAGATTTGTAAATCTCATTCTGGAGACAATTATCTATCCACATTAAGCAGGCCATGTGAAAGCAGTGAAGGGGATGTTCTGTCAATACTGAGATTTAATGTTCACATGGAAAGAAAGAGAGATGTTTGACATTCAGTACCCTTCTCCCTTGGGAGAGAGTGATCATGTCATGTTGGAAATTAAATATGCTTTGTGATATAACCTAGAAGAGAATGGGGAAATGGTTGAGAAGCTTGATTTCAAGTTCCCCTATAGGGAACTTAGCAAATTCTTTAACAAATTTAATTGGAAAGACTTGTTGCCAGGCAAGGAAGTACGCAAAGTTCTGTGAAATATGAAGACCCACTCAAACACCAGAAGATAAGGAGATGAAGATGTTAAGGTTTCGTCTTCCTTTGTTAGAAACTAACCTTTCTAACAAACGTGACCTAACATAAGCTTACCCCCCATTTTTATCTTTCTTTTTGTCTTTCTTTTTCTAATGTTCCCATTCTTATAATCATTATTACCCCCCTCTTACACCCCTTTAGTACAATCATCTCATCCGTACCTTCCGCCTTGCTCTTACCTTCCTCTAGGAATTTCCTCCTCACCTCTCTCTTGCCTTGCTTAATGCCTGTGCCTCCCTCGCTCCCATCACAGTCGACTTGATAATGATCCAGGATGGACCTAATGTGGTCATCTCCACATCTTCTGGTGTGTGGTTTAGTCTTTATATCTTCAGCCATGTTATTGTGACTCATCGTCTGCATCTGTGAAACATACGATGAATGTACAACAAAATTTATACCAAAACAGAGATGCAGAGTCGGAAAACTGGATTTGTTCAACAGAAATTGTGAGAGGGGCCAGAGAGGAAAAGACAAGAAAATTAATACAAAATAGGAAGAGCCCTAACCCTCAAACATATCAGCATTAAAGAAAAAGCAGGAAACAAATACACAGCATGGAGGAGAGAGAGGCAGAAAGGAACTTTGAAAAATGGGTATCATACAAATGTAAAACAGATCTAGGCCTTTTCTGTAATCTCATTCAAAGTTAACTGCATGTAAAGGATAAAATCCAGAGATTGAGAATGGGGAACAGATTCATAGAACATGAAAAAAAAGTGCAGAACAGTAAATGAACAGTTTCAAAATGTGTTTGGTTCTCTGAAAAATTTGTTTTCCACAGTCATAATGCCAATTCCTGAAAACACTATAGAATATATAGAGGTGTCTCGAGACAAAGTGGAAAAATTTACTCAAGGGGCTAGAAAGAAATAAAACAGATCAGATAGAGTCTTATCTTGGGTGCTGAGAGAATGTGCAACTAAACTGAGCATTCCACTTCAATTGATATTCCAAACATCTTTATGCACAGGAAATGTAGCAGATACTGTATAGGGAAAAGGGCAAATATAGTTTCAGTATACAAACATGATAGTAGAGAAGACCCATATCATTGACAAGCTTGGTAGTCAAAACACTAGAAAAAATAGTTAAAACCATATGAGTAGAACACCTGGAGAGTAACAACAGAATAACGGACATTGTGGTTTTCGAACAGGAAAGGTTTTTGACAGAGTCCCACACAAGAGGCTGTTCTGGAAAGTGGAATATGCTGGAGGGATGACATGGATGACAAGTTTTCTGACAGAAAGGTGAAGACAGTAATTACACTGTAGATGCAGTGTATCTGACTGGAGGAGTGTTACTAGGAGAGTACCACAGGGTTCAGTTCTTGTGCAGCAGTAATGTTCATTGTCTACATAAATGACCTACCAGAAGGAGTAGAGAATTATATGAAAATACTTTATGATGTTGCTAAGCTTTTAGGGAAAATAGCAAACCTAGACGATTGTCGTGCTCCTCCAATTGGCCTAAATAAAATAAAAGTGCTTGGAGCACCATGTGGCAAATGGAATTCAATGTGAATAAATGCCATGTTATGGAATGTGGAATAGGAGAAAATAGACTACACACACATATCCTACAAATTAAGTGGAAGGGGCATAAAGAACTCTTAACATTTAAAGTTCTCAAAAGGAATGGTTCTGGGTAGTAATCTTTCACCAGAGAAACACATAAAACATTGCACACAACTTCATAATGGTCCAAGACCGACCGAAACGTCGTCTCCTCCTCATCTTCTGGTGTGTGGTTTGGCCATCATATCTTCAGCCACCTTCGCACAAGGACATTGTGCGAAGAGCATATGCTATACTTTCCAACTTCAAATTTGCTTTTAATTACATGGATGGTGAAATACCAAAGAAACTGTTCATGACTTGTGAGATATAAATTGGAATTTGCAGCAGTTGTATGGTGCCCATATTTCAAGAAGCACATCAATAAACTGGAAAGGTGCAAAGGGACGCTACAAAATGGCTTCCAGAACTGAAAAACAAAGAATTATGAAGAGAGGCTAGATCACTACTTACAAAATAATAACAAGATTCGATAAAATTAACAAAGAGGAATTCTTGAAACTGGCAACTTCAAGAACAAGAGGGCATAGGTTCACGCTTAGGAAACAAAGGTGCCAAAAAAAGTTATACAATTTTCCTTTGTAAACAGTGATAGATGATTGGAACAAGTTATGCAAGAAAGTGATGGGAGGTCCAAAATGTAGGTACTGTAGTTTCAAAGTGTTACATGAGAGAGTGCTGGGTAGACGGGACACCATTCATCTGTCTCACATCGTGTAACTACACTTAGATAATTACAAATACTGTATCAGAAGATTCTCTTTTTTGCAAATGTAGTGGTAGGCATTTGGATAAATTTATTTGAGAATGTGGTGGATGCCAAAACTGTCAGTACTATAGTTTCAAATTCCATGACAAAGAATATAATGGGAAGATGGGACATCATGAGCATAGTGCTCATCCTGTATCAACACTTAAGTAATTGCTTATGTAATTATACACAAACATGTATATAATGTATATATACAGTATCTGTGTGTGTGTGTATGTATGTATGTATATATATATATATATATATATATATATATATATATATATATATATATATATATATATATATATATATATATATATATATATATATATATATATATATAAAATTAAAATTGGGTTCTAAAGCACAGTGATCTATGCCCCCAGCTTACAATCAAGGGACCCACCCCCCGGTTCAGTCCTCAGGCAGAACAGAAATGGTTGGGCATGTTTCCTTTCACCTGATGCCTGATGTTCTGTTCACCAAAAAAATCAATAGATACCTGGAAGTTAGGCAGTTGTTGTGGGTTACATGCAGTGAAAGATTGGTAGTTGGCATAGCGGGACCTCAGTAAGTCTTAAGTACTGTACAGGCTTCCTCTCTGATAATGGGAATTAGTGCATATATATATACAGTATATAAAATACACATGCTCACAGAGGAATTTTTAAAACTTTTAACTTAAAAGATCATAGATACAAGCTTAGGAAACAAAGGTGCTGAAAAAGCCTACTGAGGTTTTCTTTTGAGAACCGAGTTAGAAGGTTGGAGCAGGCAAAGTGAGAAGTCAGTGGGTGCCAAACTACCTACCATTGGAAACTACCATTGGTAGTTTCCGAGGGTCATAAGACAAAGAATACTGTACCGGAAAGATTGGATATCATAAGCAT